AATTTGTAGCAGTTGTAGTATTTGTAAGGGTTTTACGGCACTTGCAACGCATAAAAGTCAGTTCTAAGAAACGAAGATTCGAGGTGTTACAACACAGAGGGTTAAATACAAAGAAAGTAGGGGGGGGGGGATAAACGCGATATTTTGTTTGAAAAGAAAGAAGAAGCAAACAACACCAGAGCACCCGCCAACCCCCCACTTAGAACATATGTACCAAAAGAACTGACGCTAGGCCTAGTGTCTGTGCTTATTTGGTCCACATTTGATGTCATGTAACGGTGAGCAATGGAGCTAACAGGGTCAAAGTGAGCCTGAACATTTAAATTAAATTCCGCGGAGTGCAGATAGAAAAATATCAGAGCTGTACACTTTCGAGAAAAAAGCTTTCCAGAGCGGCGCACTTTTTAACGACATGGATACAATTAGATTGCCGATTCCATCCAACGGTTACAGTCCCCTTGACAAAATTATGCCGTGCATCTCGCATCTAAATATATATTCATCTTTCTGCAGACTTCCAGACCATTTCTAAGCTGAAACAAAAACACAGACCAAAGAAAAAGACACCAGAAAAAAAAGGGAAAATGTGTTAGAAACAAATTTACGCAGATGAACAAGTCTCACAACTTCAATTTTTATCTTGAATGTGTAAGAAAATGCTGCGCCAACACTCTAAAGATCGCACCTGTCCTGTAGATATGTTTTTATACCTGAAAAGCCTATTCATTCAATACAAAATCTAATAGACATCTGGTCCCAAGCCCAGTAAAACGCTGAAGGTACTTTAATTGTTGGATGGTACCAAAGATCTTACATAACAAGATAGTTCACTCAGCCAAAAAAGTGTCCGCGAAAATCCACACATTGGTTCAGATAGCGCAGAAGTCTTTGTCTTGAAGCTCTCTTTCGTTTCTCCGGAAGAAGAATAGGAATAGCACAGTTTGTTAGTTTCGCTTTTATTTGTTTCTCACACAAGTAGGGCAACTTTGTTCGCAAAGTCCGCACTTTTTCGAAGAGGGCGCCACCGAATTTCGAGGACATTGTTTAAAAATTGGCTCAAAGAGAGGAGTGAACTATCTTGTTATCTACGATCTTTGATGGTACTGTTTTGGTAATCAGCAATCTAATTATTCAACTAATTGTATCGATATGGTAAACAAGTGCGCGGCTCCAATATAACTTTTTGTCGAAAGTGCGCGGTGTGGGTGGTTGGCGGGTGCTCTGGAGTGGTTTTCTCCTTCTTTCCCGTCAAACATCTGTCGTCCTTATCTCTCCTCCTTCTTTTTTATGTTTGTTACTCCCTTGTAACACTTCTATTCTTTGCCACTTATATGAATTTATTGCGTAGCAAGTGACGTAAAACTCATACTAAAACTAAACTAAAACTAAAACTAAGAAAGTGTACGGCTCTGATGTCCTCCCAAGCAGATCGTGGCTATTCGGTACTTTGATTTATCATCTCGTGTACAGAAGAAGGTGGGGAGGGGGGTGGCTGTGTTCATATGTGTGTGCGTGCGTGTGTGTGTGTGTGTGTGTGTGTGTGTGTGTGTGTGTGCGTGTGTGTGTGTGTGTGTGTGTGTGTGTGTGTGTGCGTGTGTGTGTGTGTGTGTGTGTGAAAGGGGGGAGGGTTACGTGTGTGTACGTGTATAAATTTGTTTGTGTGTGTAGCAGTTTTGCTAATCACCGTTGCAAAATAAGGATACTATAAGTTCGATTTCCGAGCGGGGAGGTCTTCGGAATTTCACGGTGATATTAAAGATGGTTCCAGCAGGGAACAGGAAAGAGGGTGCTCAAGTCCATCATGACTCATTGAAGCAGAGGAAGATAGGACTAACGCTAACATTACTTAAAACTTAAACG